TTCCAGCCATACTGCACCTCTACAGGGTCAAGCAGACCCTCCCCCCACCCTCAGGGTCTTTGTAGTTGCTCCTTCCTCTCCGTGCCTGCAAGACTGTCCCCTCAATTATCTCTATGGCTTGCTTTCTCAGTCCTTCAGAGCCCTAACTTCTATGTTCCACGCTTTTCAGCTAGAGAAGGCTCCACGGAGAAAAAAGGGGCTGAAGGTTGGAAAAGATAAAGAAAACAGGAAGGAAGGAGTGACCTCTTCAGGAGCTTGTTGGGAAGCCCAACGCAATTGCAGGAATAGTTTGGCCAACAAGAGACCTTATATATATGACAGTAACAAAAGACTTGAGGGGGGAGTGAAACCATTCTCAAAAGGCCTTGAAGCTAAGTTAAGGAGTGATTGTTCTATAGGCGTAGGCATCCAACTGAGAATCGAAGTCAGTTCATTCACATTTCCATTGAAAAATGTCTTCTAACCAGGGTCTCTGAATCAGTGTTTATTCTGGTGGTCTAAACAGGTCCACGGAGGAAGCAAGAAAAACCAGCACCAACAAAGGAGCAAAAAAGCTCAGAAAAATGTGTATCCCTGAGAGTTTTCCAGGCCCTTTCAGAAGTTGATGGGAGAGGATAGTCTTCCCTAGAGCCACTCCTTGAGAGCTTACATATCCAATGATGTGGCAACTGGAGGTTGGAAATGGAATTTCAGAACCAACCCGACAGGAAGAACAGGGGAAGGTTGGCATTCTCTTTTGATACTCTTGGATCAGGCCTACCTGACTCAGCCTCTCAGATCTCTTGATAACCAATGTTTCGAGGTCAAGGAGGTCAGTGAATGTGGGCGCCACTGCCCTCTGCTGGAGGGACTGGCATCCTCCCCAAGACCTGTATTTGGCTCCAAGACAAGAATTCTTAACCTTCTTTGGATTCTGGGTTCCTCTAAGAATCTGAGGAAAGCTATGGACTCAAAGAAGAAAAAAAGATATGCATGCATACATAAGAATTTATATAGAGTTTCAGGGTTTCATGGAAAGACCCTCTGAGGCGGTAGCAATATTCACTTTACAACAACTCATTTGTTAACGCTGTATTTATGTTTTTAGCACTTTTCTGTATGCTTGTTATATTACGCAGGCACATGGAAAAAGTGGGAGGGGCTTCTGGACTTTGACACCAAACAAAGAAGCTACTTAGTAGCTGTTTGACTCTGGACACATTACTGAAAGGGCAGAACAATATAAGATCCTTCTTGGAGAAAGACGGTATGAAACAAAAAGAAAGTGAATTTTCCTTTAAGAAAATAATTAGTTTTTAATTGAAGAGAAACTGAAAAAATAAAAGCCCCACTGGAATCTAAAAGACCTTTATGCAGGTGCTATGCTATAAAATATTCTAATCTGTGTTGTTAATGAAGCTGGATTTACAACCTAGTAAACTAAACAAAGAATTTATGTTGAGTTGATTAACCAGTTGGGACTAAAATCTAGTGTACTTAAGTGCCAGTTTTGCTTGTTTGTTTGTTTTTAAAATATATCTTTATTGATTTCAGAGAGAGGAAGGGAGAGGGAGAGAGAGATAGAAACATCAATGATGAGTCATTGATCGGCTGCCTCCTACACGCCCCCTACTGAGGATTGAGCTGAAACCCCGAGCATGTGCCCCAACTGGGAATCATTAACAGCGATCTCCTGGATCCTAGGTCGATGCTCAACCTCTGAGCCATGCTGGCCGGGCATAAGTGCCAATTTTTGCTGTTTCATTTTTCTTCTAGCCAGTGTAAAAAGATGCTGGCTCTCTTGTGAAATTGCTTTATTACATGACTGTCTTAACCTATTTAAAATGCAAACTTCTGCCAGTTGGCTTGGCTCAGCAGTTGAGCATCAACCTATGATCCAGGAGATTGCAGTTCGATTCCCGGTCAGGGCACATGCCTACGTTTTGGCTCGATCCCCAGTAGGGGGCATGCAGGAGGCAGCCAATCAATGACTCTCATCATTGATATTTCTCTCTCTCTCCCTTCCCTTTCCTCTCTCTGAAATCAAAAAAGATATATTTAAAATTAAAAAAAAGAAATGCAAACTTCTATTTTTGTGAAACTTGTTCCGTACAATTGAGAGAAGTCCTAATGATAATAATAATGGCTTAGGCAGAGTTTCAATTGGGAACCAAGCAGTACTTTAGGCAGATTGTAATCAAAACATTTTAACACGACAATCCTTTAAATACTTCCTTATTTTGTGACACAAGAAGTTGTTCCAGGGTCATCCTGTATTTTTTCTGCTCCAACCCTGGAGTCTCAGTTGTTTTTCCAAAAAGCCCTGGATTCTTTTAGTAGAGAATGGTACTTAAAAGCCAAGACCTAGGCATGCTTATTGCTACGGGCGTATCATTGCTTTTAGGGCTTCTTGGCAAACAGGATCAGGAAAGACACACATATACACACACACACTTTCATATCTATCTCTATTATATTAAACGCCGTGAGTTTATACTGATACATTGCATTCCAATCCAACAGCAAAGAGCTCTTTCAAGCTTTCCCCCTTTTCATGTTTGTGACTCCTTTCTCCAGCATCGACAAATCTATTTGAGAACATTTCTAATGTAACAAAATGCTGGTTTTAAAAAAAATATTGTTCTCACTTGCATTGCTCTTTGTTCTCCAAGAACTACCCAAACTCCAGAGTTTTCATTTATTTTATTCATTCAACCAACATATATTTACCAAGCAAATATTATGTGCCAGATAATGTTCTGGGGCTGGGGACACAGCAGTGAAGAAAACATCATACTGGGAAAAGAACAGTGGAAAGGGGATAATAGATACAAAGCTAAGAAAGGGCAAAGCTGGGATCTGAACCCAGACAGTCTGGCTCCAGGATGCATATTATACCATCTGCCTCTGATTGCTTTTGTAATTTGCTCTCTGCCTTCCACAACATTTTACAACTCTCATGAATCCAATAAAAATGCCTCTGTCAGTTTCTAAATCTACACAATGCATCTTCCACATTACTTAATTTCTCTGATACTGTTTCCAAATCTGTGAAAAATTTACTAATCTCAACCTGCTGTGAGGATAAATGAAATGATATGAGATGCCTGGTGCTACTTGCGACACATCATAGGTATTTAGTGAAGTTAATTTTCCTTTTCTATTTCAACACAAATGCTACACTATAAAGTTCTTCCAGAACAAAGACTTTTTTCCCTCTCTTCCTAATTCAATCAATTATTTATTTACACATCCATTCATTCTTACGCCCATTCGAAAAGCATTTATTGAAAATCCAGTATGCTCCAGGCTCTCTGCTAGTTGTGGGGGATACAGGGACGGCACAGCCTCCATTCTCAAGGAGCTCACAGTCCCATCCAAGAGACACACCAACAGTTACAACACAACTTGATATGTAGCTCGGATGAGAGCTAGAAGGCAGTGGTCACAGAAGAAGCCTTCCTGAAAGAAGGGGCCCTATCATAGCAAGGACTAATACAGCAATCCTGCTGTTCAAGTTGCCAACGATAGATGGAAAAAAAAATAAGTGGGTGAATGAATTTGACCCAGGTAAACAAATCTTTCACAGAAGGTCCCACTGCCCAAGGCACTGTGCTCTGAACTGGGAGCCTGCAGGTGAAGAGACGGCAGCTCAGGCCCTGAATGAGCTTCCAGTGTTCCTGGCAGATACAAACTTCTATAAAGAGATGTTTCAATACGACGTTGAGAATTACAGGGGAAGGCAAGCTCCTGTAACAACAAGATGATTAAAGGGGGGGG